GGAGGAGGGCATGAGCAGCATGCAGCAGAAAGCGGCGGAGCTGGAGCACATGGCCGAGGTCCTGCTCACCGGCGAGCAGCTCCGGTAAGCGGTGCCTCCCCCCCCCTACCCCGCAACCACCACCTCCGCTTTGCCGGGGGACACGTACCCGGGGGTCGGCAGCGGCGGGGGGGGGATCTGGGGGGGGGAGGGGGAGGGGCTGTCCCCTCGGGCTTCCCTTGCACCGGAGCACCTGCCCTGCTTCCAGCGCGTCCCCGGGCTCCGGCCCCGCTTTCCGCAGCGAGGAGGAAGAGGAGGAGGAGGAGGAGGAGGGGAGGTGGCAGCCGACGCTGCCAGCCCGGGGAGGTAAGTCACCGCCTCGGGGGTCTTCTGCCCCGGGCACCTTTGCTCCCCTGCGTGGGATAGGAGGCGTCTGGGGGAAAGGCTGCAGCATCGCTAAAGGGATCAAGCGATGCAGAGGGAGAGTTGCGTCTTTAAAGAGGAAAAAAAACCCAAACCCAAAGAAACCATAAGCCATAAAGTGTTTCAGCACTCCAGCGAGAAATAAGCAGAGCGCGGGGAACCGCTCCTGCACAAACGCCGTGTGCTCTCCAGCTCCCGCAGCGGTGCCGGGCAGTGACCCTGCAGAGGTGCTCCTTATTCCAAGGGCTTGTTTTTATTTTGCATCAGCTGGTCCCAGCAGATGGAAGGGGATCCCTACTGTCAGTGCCAGCAGTAATTAACAGTGCTGTGTGACTGGAGTTGTGCGCAGCACAGAAACCGTTAACAAAAATGCCTGACTCAGTTAATTTTTAATTTCTGTGATGTATTTAGTGTGCCATCTGTACCCATACACTACAGAGGAGAAAAAGAAATTTTAAGACTTTCGGCTTGTAGATGGAACACCTTGTGATTCAGGAAGAAAAATCCTATTTTTATCATGTGTTATATGTGTAGCTAGAAAGAGATTGTAGAAATATTTTCCCAGTGGTTTTTGCTTGAATTTTCTTTGAACTTTTTGCTCAAATGCCGGACAAACACTGCAAAATGATAGAAATGTTGCTTGATTTACGAGGTGCCATCATTGCTGCTAGTACAGACGCTGACATTGTTACTGGTCGGATCCACATGGTGAGGACCATTGACACCTTGTGATGCACACCAGTGATACCTGTGTTTGGGGGGTAAAAGTTGTTTTAGTGGTCTGGCTCCAGTACACACCAGTGTGTGCTCTAAGCTTGAGATTCCTCTTCAAAGTAGCCTGAAGTGAAACCTAGGGTGACAGGGTGCACCGGCACACAGGCTCTGCATGGTGGACTTAGTGCAGAGTTGTTCATCCAAGTGCCTGATAAGAATCCTGCTGTTCTTAATTTATCTCACTAGAAGTTGGAAGATCGAAGGCTAATACAACATTTCTATTAAGATCACATTAATATTTTTATACCCCTCATAGTTAAATGTAAAAGCAAAAGCTTTGCAATCTTTCAGGAAGGAGAAGACTGAGGAAATTTCAACAAATCTGGCTCCTGGAATCAGCTCATTAGTCTCACAATCAAGCATGACTTTTGTCATCTGATTTATTAAGGTAATGAAATATGGTGCTGTTTTGGGGCAGGACTATCTACAGATACAAAATAATTATTCCCCGTCCTGTAAAGTTACCTATGGAATCTGTAGGAAGTGGCCTAGGTCTCCTTGGACTGTGGTTTCATGAACAGCTCAGCCTGCATCATGTCTAGCTACTGCTAATGGGGAGATCCACTCTCTCCCTGACCCTTTTCCTACTCCCCACTCCCGACTGTGTAGTCCCCCCTCCTCCCTCGTGCCGCTTGCATACTTCTTGCACCTTCCTGGGAGCAGATCCAATGCAGCGATGCAGTAGGTAAGTTAGTTTTCTGAGCTGCTCACTGCCGGAACCCACAGAAGGTAGGTGGTGGGAATGTGGAGCCAGGAGTAGGAAGAGGAGGTAGCGGAGAATAAGCAAGATCTCCCGTTTTGGCAGCAGTGAGCTGTTGGGTCAGCTGGAACCGTCTTGCGAAACTGCACCCAAAATTGTCTCTCTTCCCCCAGTTTTTTGTTAGCTTTGTTCTGTTTCTCTGTCAGGATACTCTATGCAAAGTGTCAGTTGTCTTCAGTTTTCCAGACCATAAAAGCCACCAAATACGCAATAGAAAACTGGCCGGTAGACCAGTTTTAGCCAACCCTGCATTTAAAGCTTCTCTTTTCCTGTCCAAGAAAGGTGTATAATTGTTAAGGCTAAATGAAATTTTGGAGGATTTTCAGGATCAAAGACAGGCTATCTCAGCGGCCTTTGGGGCAGGCAAACAGATGATAGAAAACCAGCACATGCACTCAAGGAAACATACTGTACTCTATTCTTAGTGATGCTTACAAATGCCAGATAAGCCCCCAGCGGGAGTGATGCAGCCAGACAGGTGATTATGTGTGTATTTGGGTGAAAGTGCATATGAGCAAGTGTTGCATACTGCAAGATGAACACTTAGGAGTAAAAGTGTAAAACGAAACTGTGAGCATGGTGTTGCTTACACAAAGCCAACCGAATGTAGGTATTTAAAGCACCCCTGTACTAGACCAAACAGTGCATGTGCCCAAACTCAAATACTTACGAGAGGTGCTTGATTTAAATTCCTTACAAAGTTCCTATTGCCAGTCTCACCCCAGCCTCACACATTGCGTCATAGCCCCCATTCCTGTGGCCTGTTCGTTGCACATCTGTCCCTCTCTGGCAGGGACTTCTTTGTGCAGTAAGGGCTGAATTCATCTGAGCAGCACCTGGGCAAGCCTGGCTTTGCACGCTGGCAGCGCTGGCAGTGGGGATGGAAGCCCTGTGCCCCCTTCCCCTCCCCAGGCAAGTGCAGGCTGGCTAGGGGAGGGAGAGGAGGAGGCCAAAGAGTTTTGTCCTTCTTGTTACTGTCCTTCAGTTGCTTGTGATCTGTATTTCTCCTTTTCGAGGTCAGGAGCCTCTGCCCCGGTGTGTGCTACGTCAGCTGGCAAATGCTGGCTCTGGGCTTGCACCCACCACCTTCAGTCATGAGCAGTTTGTGGGAGTTGAAGCAGTGATGTAAATCCTGGTCCATGGGTGGCATGATTTATGGAAAAAGAAACAGGACCTTGAGCTATATTTTAGCTAACGTGGTAGATTTTTACATTCAGTAGCGTCCTCTGCCTCTAACCCCAGTAGCTGGCTGAGTGAATACCTAACTAGCTCTTACTTTTGGTTAATGGGAGCATAATTTTTAAAGTGAGGACTTCTGAAGTTTGGCTCTTGATAGGCCTTTTAATTATCAAGCTGACAGCCATGAAACAAAGCAAAAGACCTCAGCAGCGTGGCACTTCAGGACAGACCCTTTGGCAGCTTCTCTCTGCCATGCAGAAGACTAGGAGGAGCAAGGCGAGAGCTGCGATGGGCACGATCCAGCTGTGGGCTTTCCAGGCACCGGCAGCCCTGCAAGGACAAACTGCCTGACAGCTCCGAACACCCAAACTCCCAGCTCTTCCCCCTGTTCTGCTGCAGTTTCAGAGACCCTATAGCTGTTCCGTGGTGAGCTCGCTCTTTGGAGGAAGCCTGCAACAGAGCTGCCCTTAAAAGGCTCCGTAAGTTACAAGTGAGGGGTATGGACCCGTCTCCTGAAGAAACTGCGAGCTCTGCTCGAGAGGCTCACGGGGCCTTCAGCTTCCTTGGCACTGGGAGAGCCCTTCGAAGCCTTCCCCCCCCACCCCCGTCCCTGCCTGCAAACGCTTGCTTGGGGGCAGCCCCAGGGAAGCGAATGGCCCTGAGCTTCCTCGGTGTCGCTGGCTGTGCCTGAAGGAGGGTGTCACAGCCTTAGTGCTTTGGATAGTCATTGTTGGAAGCATAATAATGGGAACGTATAACAGCACTACCGAAGTCAACAAGAATTTTATCGGAAGCAGAGCGATTCCAGGCTCATTTCCCTCCCGGTCGAAGGCAACAGGTTATGCCCGTTTCAGCACTGTTTGGGAGAAGTTTTAAAGTATCTCTGTCTGAGTTTGAGCATTAACTTAGTTAAAGCTGAATCTTGCCTCTGGCAACCAAAAGCAGTTTCAATGGGCATGTTTTGATATACATGCTGGCTGCCTGTCGTACAAGTCAGGGGCGTCTGAAATCTTCTTTGTCTGCTAACTGGTTCTTGATGCCAGATTGTCACCAAAATCTGGTACATCTTCCAAGAGTCCCTCATTTCTTGCAGAAAATATGCCTAGTCATTCAGGGTGTCTTCAGGCTTCAGCTGTCCAAACAGCAATATTAAAAGAGCACCTTTTTTTTTTTTTTTAAATCAGAAATTGCAATTGTATATATGGTGCAGTTCTCTGTAGTAGGTGTAACTTAAATGACATTTAATGTCTCTGCAGACTTTTGGATACCTCTTTATCACCAGCCTTTACAAGAAGCAACACCTTTGCTGATTCACACTTTTGTTAAATAGTTGGGTAAATAATTAGGAAACTTGTTAGATGAGCCAGTGGTTTTGATAGAATAGTTCTTATAATTCAGCATCTTCTTTCTTTCTGCTTAGGGAAATACGAAGCATGTTTCTTAGAGATTTTTCTTTCTTTCAGGCAAGATATGGTTCAACAGAAATTTGTTTGCCTTTTTATCAGAGTTTTTATATGAGTTTCATCTTACAAAAGAGGTTTTACATGGTAAACAGCTATACGTTTTGAAGCTGCAAGACATGTCAAAACCAGTATTCACTGGTCTTCCAAAGGTCTCACTTCAGGAAGATTATCGCTTTAAGAAAACTTCTTAACATATTGGAGTGCATAACTTTCAGAGTCATTAACTTCTGAAGGGTGATAGCACCTACAGGTCCATAAATGCTTTTCTTATTCTGAGCAATAAATAAGTCAACCTTTTTCACAGTGGTAAGGTTCAAAAGTTCATTGGCACTCTAAGGTGGAAAGAACCCAGGGCACATAACAGTAACAGTTTCTAGAGAAATATAATCAAGAGAGCCTTATCGCTAATGTATTGCTATAATATAGAAAAATAATAACCATATAGTTCAATAATTTATTAAATGCTATCACTGTGTTCGAAAGTATATTAACACTCTAATGATGCA